GAAGAAGAAGAAGAGTAGCAATGATAGTAGTAAGAAGCATATTTATAGTATAATGCTCATATTCATAACACTACACCGTGGCAATTACAGACATAACAACAATAACAAGAATAATAACAATGAACTCCCTGACTCCCTGAAAGGCCTGGTCCCGCAGCCAGGTCTTCGGCACAAGGCCCAAGGATGCCGTTGAACCTCTGAGGTCATGAGGGGGCTATGGGATTTTTGGGCGTATAGTTGAAACCCAAAACCCTAAACCCTAAACCCTATATAAACTTTGTGGTTCTGGGGCTCTTTGTGGTTTTAAAAGGTTGATGAGGGTTTCTGAGGGGGCTATTTGGGTTTTGATTTCCAGGGCGTTGGGTTCTTAGGGTCTGCTTGCAGGGTCTGGGGGGAGTAAGGTTTAGGGCTTAGCGGATTGAGGACTTGCAGTTTAGTGCTGATGGTAAACTTCGTTCAGGGTTGGGAGAGCTTGCAGGGGCTTAGCACTGATTCTTGGGGCTTGGGTTTGAGTGCTCGCGATTATGCATGGCCTTAGACTATAAGGCGTTTCCGGAGTTCTCTTCGCCTGAGGTTTCCTGGCTTGTGCAGGGTAAAGACTCGTGGTGCGGGTCTGATGCTTGCGTTTAAATTTCAGAGTCTGTGCTCACGGAGCTTGAATTTTCTGGGTTAGAGGATGTGGGAGTGCCTTCAGAACGGACTTTGACTTCATAGCATACAGGCTTGCACGGTCTTTGACACGTGCTGTTCAGATTGGTCGAAAATTTTCTTGCGGGATTGTGTGACCTTTGTGCACGTTTCGCTGGTGCTTCCACGCACCATTCATGTCAAGGACTCGAGAAATTCAACAACCATATTTTTCGGTGTTTATGGAGTTTAGGGGGCAACATAGTTCCAGGATGGGCTTCAAGGGGCGGTGCTGCATGGAGTACAGAACTTGGTCGACCCATCTTCTGTCCAGAAACATCTTCTGAGGAAGGCCAGTGTCCACGGTGGCTCCAACTAGGATGAACTGGCCGATGAACCTTCGTTCGTTCGTTGTGATCTCAGAGAGATGGCAAGCTCCTATCTGCAAAATACCTCCCCACATATGTATATACATATGTACATATATATATATATATATACATACATCTACATCTACAAATGCACATACACATGCAGAAACATATACATGTACATACATACATACATACATGCATACATACATACATACATACATACATACATACATACATACATACATACACACATACATATGAATACATAGATATGTAATCAAATGCATATATATATATATATATATATTTATATATTTATATTTATTTATTGATAGTATGCGTGTGTAGGCGCCGCAATCACCAGGCTGAGGGTTTGCGTCTGCGGCAGCAGAGACTCGACCCCTCAACCCCATAACACCGCCTGCAGCTTCGAGCACCTCACAGTCGAAAGGCCCTGAACACAGGTCCAGGGTTTGATGGTGTCGATTTGCAAAGTTCGTGATCGAGCTTGAGGCCTGAGGAGCTGGAGCACTACAAGCATTGCACCTCGCTGACTCTCAGTTCTCAGTTCTTGCGGTTCACCCTTCGAGGATCTAGGTTAAGCGCTGGAGCTGGCAAACATGGCATGGCCTGGAGCTCTAGCCTCAGGGGTTGCCAGCCCTCTACACCCTCCACCCTAAACCTCAATCCCGAAGCCCTGTTCCTCGTAAGATTGTGCGTTAGTGCCGGGTTGCAGTATCAGGATCGAATAATCGATCGCCCCAAGGGCGAATTTCGTCTCTGTGTCCTTCCAAGGACCCAGACTGTCTCTGGGGGGCATGTCTTCCCTCACTGCACGTGAGCGTCTAGGGATTCTTGGTCAAAGTTGAGGTTAGGACGTAGGATGTAAGGCTGCGTTGTTTGAGGTACAGGGGATAGAGGCGCACGGCTAGGAGTTCAGTCGCTCAGAGCGTGCAGGGATCATTTCGGAGACTCGGAAAACAACAGCCTCTCAATCTGGACCCGAACCCTAGACCCGACCCCTTTCAGCCTAGTCTGATGCCACTTCCCATCTAAATCCCTACTCACAGTTTGAACCATTAAACTCCTAAACTCAAATTTTGAGAACTCTTGGGTTTTTTGAACCATGAAACTCCTAACCTCAAATTTTGAGAACTCTTGGACTTCTTACCCCATGGCTGCATGGCGGCTCCAGATCGTCACCAGCAGCTCGGCGGCGCAGGGCGCGCAGCAGCATCAGCGTGGATCCTGCGGCCTGAAGGGTTTTTTCAGGGTTGATGTGGGTTCAGGCTGAATCTCAGGGTTTAGGGTTGATTGTTCAGGGTTTAGGGTTCAGGGTCTAGGGTTTAGGGTTTAGGGGTTGAGGGCCTTTGCGGTTCTTAGTGTTTGAGGTTTTAGGGTTGCGTGTTTGCGGTATAGATGTAGATGCAAGGATGAACAGGATGCGCTCGGGCTACTCCCAAACTGCTGCAACCTTGAGCCCCCAAATACACACCCCACCCGAAGGTCCAGCAATCACAAGCCTCTGAGATAGTGGACCCATAGACTGCAGACTACCGAATTCATGACCTTTATGATTTTCAATAGGGCTTTTTGGGCAGAATATAACAAGTATACCCATATACGAACCATAAAGAGAACATCTGACCCCCTACACTTGGCCCAAAGCCTCCCAAACCTCACGCTGACAGTGCTCGACCGAAGGGCTTTCTAGACGCTAGATCGAAGACCAGGGAGGCTCGGAATCTCAACCAGAGACTCTGAGCCTCACGCCAAATCGAGTAGAGCGAACCCCCCATTTCGATACCCTAAGCCGTCGACCCGAATCTGGTGAGGCCGAAAAGCTAAGGCCACATCGTCCGTCGCCATGTTGAAAACCCAGCCTACGACCATGGCAGTGACCTGGGAGACATCAGAGCCTAGAGTGTCGGGGTTGGGGTTCGAAGCGACGACGAGTAGGTCTCGGGGTTTGAGACTTTGGCAGATTGAAACTCTACGGGCTTCGAGTTTGCTATACGGTGTACATCAACAAGGTGTTTACACGTCCTCAAAATATTTTTTTGTCCTGTCTATGGTCTTCTGCCGTTCGTTGTGCTGGTTGATGGTCCTACAAGGATCCTTGGCATCATAAAACCCACTGCATCTTCAACCCTGAATACACCCCCAAACCTTCAAATCCATTCAAACCCTAAACCCACCCAAAACTTTCCCTGAACCCTTAGGCCTTGAACAGCAACTCTGAAAGTAATGGGCTCTACCTAGCCCTCGGGTTCAATCAGGCTCATGCCATGTTGTCCCAGGTACTGACGTCCAGGGTGTGGTTGAAAAGTGTACAAGACTGAAAGGAAGTTGCAAGTGGGTTGTTTTAGCACTACGGGGCCTCAGGACTTGGGTTTCAGGGCTACTGGTAGTTGGGCTACAAAAAACCAAAAAAAACATTTGCACCACTCCGAAATAATAAAAACCCATTCTGCAAACGCATGCTTGTGTCAGCATGAAACCTTAAACTCCGCCGGAGCACAATCACCGCCACGGCCACCATGTAGAAGCGCCAGAGGCACCTTCAGACGGGCCATGCAGGTTGCGCCCAGACTGTACGGGGAAGGAAGCTTTCAGACTGACCCTATTGTAGGGCTTGCACATCGGCGGTTTAGGCTGAAGCGCAGATCTCCGTTAAAGTCCTACAGGTCCTGCATCCCAAGTGGGAACTTCAAACCCCCGATTCCAACTCGTCCTTCTCAACGCCCTCAAATGGAATCACCAGCTCCCGAAACCCTCATCTTTCTTAGTTCTGCGAAATCACGCCGTGCATGTCGACACACTTGGATGGCCGTCGGAGGCCTGATTGCTGAACCCTCAAAGCTCAATCCCAGTGGCTTGGATTGGGGTGCTGCCAGCTCCACATCGACCTCCTGGCGACAGGGTTCTGAGCATCTAGCAGAAAGCGAAGGATTCGGGGAAGCTAGTCTGCAATTTACTCGGTAGGTCGGCGCATGCACGTTAATGCAGCGTTCAGGAATTTCAAGCCGGATCCCCCACTGGTCTACGTGATGCTCCTGGGCTCGAGGTCTCCTGCGGATGCTCCGAGTCTCCACAAGGTCTGGGATAAGCTCCGAGCTTTCCGAGAAGGATGTCTACAGGAGTGAACATAGCAAAAGCCCAAGACAAGCCCCCAACCAGGCTCCGAAGCTCTCAAAACCTGAGCCCTGAACCCACCCTAATCCTTAATCCAAGCCCTAAAGCCCCAGCCCATCTTACCGAAAACCTTCAGTCCGACAACGAAACTCTGAGGTCCTCTACCGGCTCAGAGGCAGTGAAGAGCAGGTCCTGCCAGATGGGCGGAAGCTGCAAGTTGGGTTGGGGTGAGGGTTCAAGAGTTTGGGGTTTCCGGCTTAGGATCAAAGCCTGCGAGCACGGTACGGCCTTTTCGCTTTCAGAACAAAGTGAGGTCTGCCACCAGAGCAAATTCAAAGCAACCAACAAAGGTTCAGTGGTTCAGGGCCTCAAGGTTTAGGGTCGCGGTGTACTTTCTTGCGCACACAGGCTGCGCAGCAGGTGTTCCAAAACCCGATCAGCCAATAAAATCCCAAAGCCAATATTGCGGGGGCATGGAGAAAGATTCGAGGAGGTTGTTAGGGTGCTCTTTTGTTCCTTCTCCCTACCGTGCAAAACCTTCGACAAAGTCGACCCCTTACACCCTGAACCCAAAGCGCTACAACACCGTGCAACAACCCCCCGAAGGAAATCTGCAGCTGGGTCCTTTCTGAAGTACAGGCACAAGGCACCTCAGCTGTGCGTTTCGAGAGCTTCACGATTTAACAAACCTTGGGGCTTTGGGCTTGGGGACACGGGAATGCTGAAGCCCGCCTCAAACCCTCGCTATAGAAAAATCCTGCAACACCCAAACCAACAGAACCTCTCAGCCTAACCTCGACTTCCGCCGTGTCGCAGGTGTTCATGGCCAGGCCGAGGATCACAGGCAGAAGCATCGCCTATCGGCGCAGGAATAAGGGCTTACAGCCTATTATAGTGGTCTTTGTTCCGAGTTCGTTGAGGTCTCTATAGGGTTCTTGCCAAGGAACCTAGTAAGCTCATGGTGCGTTCTAAGAGGTCTCACAACTCACAGGGGCTTTATAGGGCTCTTTTTGGAAGCCACTGAAACAAAGGGTACATAGTAAATACGATGCAGGACAACAAAATAACAGCTGACTGAGGGCTCTAGGATTTTGCAGCTAGGGATGTTAGGTGTTAGGTTTGAGAAGTTAGAGAGATGTACGGTTTAGGGTTGAGGTACTTGGAGCGTGAGGTGCTGAGGCCCTGGGCATTCAGGGGCTAGGATTAAAGTTTGAAAGATTGTAAGAGTTGTACGAACTATGAGCCAGAATTAGCATCGGCGATACCAGTAGCTGCCACCTTCGTCGTCGTCGTCCTGGGCGGCGGCATCGTCGTAGTCCGAATCCGCAAACCCAAACCCGGCATAAAGTCTATCAGAAGCCCATAAACACCAGACAATCCCATACAGTAACCAGACAGGGCAAAAAGAGAAGCTCGACCCCAAAATCTGATCGAGTCCGCGGACCCTCAGCGGGCGATTCGTACACCAAAGCCCCTAAGCCCTACTTGGAGGCTCTTTCGACTCGGTAAGAACCACTTGAGGTCCCCCGAATAACAATAACTTGCCCACCCCTACTTGCTAAGTCAAAAGAGCATCATTCAAATCAGCCCCGGGTGCAAAGCCCTGCAATACAAACTCACCCCAAACCCTTATTACCCCAATCCCTGAAACCTAAACCCTGAACCCTCGTTTTCACTCCATCCGAACCGTGAAGAGACCCATGCAGCTAACACAGTAACAGGACTGTATTTGATAATGGGCCGTTTCATACGAAAAGTTGAATCACCGGAACCCAAACCCTCAACCCTGAATCCCTGACGCGCACCTCTGCAAAGTTCAGAAATGTGAGGCCCGGGGAGATCGATGCAATCAGTGCGTTTTGGGGGTTTCCGATGATCCTGGGCAGAGGACTTCGGGTTTGGGGTGTAGGCTTTTACCTGCGTTTTAAAGTTTAAGGCTTGAGGTTTTGAGTGCAGGTCTCTGCTGCAAGAGCGGCTCGTAATTGTCACCTTCTAGTTCGTATGGGACAGGAACCTCGGTACCCTGACTTGCTGCAGAGCCGCGTCAGACTTGAACCGATGTTGGAAGAAGTTGCCACAGCCTGGGTTCGGGCATCGGATCTGAGTTGCTAGCTGTCCGGCCCAGGCGAGCATTTAACAGAGGAAGCTCCATAAGCCCTAAAATCGCAGCGCTTTCAACCTGTCGAAAAATCTTTGTTCCCTCAGGTGTCTATATCACATATTGGTGGCAGTTGGGTTAGGGATACCTTCTGTCCGAACCGTCAAAGCAACACGAAATCCAGTCCCGAACACCAAAGCCCTAAACCCCACACTCCAAAACCCTCCACCATGATCATGTGATTTTGAACTTTAAAACACCCTCAAGCGTACAAAATACCGAGCTTCCGAGTTACGGCTTAGGGCTTAGGGCTTCCTCAAAACGATCAAAGCAGCAAGGAGGAAGGGAATGCTTGTCTTTGCCCCTCGCCGGCGGCAGAGATTGAGAACCACCGGGGTCAAAACCTCCGCGGCAGCTCACAACGGAGCTCGGACTTCCAGATTTAGGCCTGTAGGGCTTCAGGGTAGTGCTTCGTCTTTTGTGAGTCTAATTTAGTCTAGAACTTCTGCTTCAGGGCCCACCAGTCCTACATTGAAGCCACCCAGCAAGCGGCAGAAGTTCCCTCCAACACGTCCACCTCAGGTTCATATACCCCGAAGCCCAAACCCTAAACCTCTACGAACTCCCATCAAAAGGCGAGTTTCCTCATCACTGTCACAAAGCTCTACATACCAAACCCCAAACCCAAAGTACCCTCAGCTCTACGTCCTGAAGCTGTAAACCCTAAACCGAAAACCCTTCGACACCCAAGTCGCCAGGCAGGTGGTGTCATTGGTTAGCACCGCAGAGGTCGAGGCAGCCATGAAGCAGACCTCGAAAAACCGCTTCCGAATAAGTTTCACAGGCTCTTCATCGGCGTAAAGAGGGCATGAATAAGGTTTCTTGGCTAAGTACGGCTCGACAGGGCGGCTTCAGAGTGTGTTGCCGGTTGAGCGCAAACCCTTACCGAAGCGACTGAGTTCGACTCAACACTCCGCACAGTGACATGAGATTACGCACGCGTGACGGGAAGACCTGCCGAAGATGCCCCTATTCATCCAAACCCTAAACCCGAACCGCGAATCCGAGCACCTTCAGCAGCAGCTTCGTCGGAGACTCTGAATCCAAGAGCTCCTCCACTCGCTGCCACAAGCCGGTGTCCTCGTATTAAAGGCTCTCTGCTCAGGGTTCTATCGGATAACATATACCGAAATCAACATCCACAACAGCACCCCAAATTCACGCGGCCCTCTGTTTTTGACATGTTGGGACTTGGCGGACGGGGTCTTCAGGGCTTTAGTATGATCGAAGGGGCCGCATGGTTTGGGGAGCTGGGCTCTGACGGCCGAGGTAGGGGTAGGGGTAGGAAGAGATAGTACCATACGCCTTTGGTAGTCCATATGCCACTATAGATATAGTACTCCAAAACACTACTCCAACTACTAGGGCCAATGTCTCACATTGCTCTAGTTGGGGTTGTCGGGGTCTTACACGCATTTCGCATTCTGAATCGCGGGGCTTCGCACTCCGGCTCGAAAATGAAACTTCACAGCCTGCCGCGCTCAAGGTTTCAATGGCTGTCTGTGGAGGCTACGGACTATAACTCCAGACTTTTCAAAGCCCAAAACAAAGTTGAGCTGAGGCCTTGAGATACGCGTTGACCAGCATCAGCCCGAAGAGAAGGGCGATGGGCGTAGGGTTGATCCTTGAGTAGATGTCGTGAGGCGTCCGGGCTCAAGAAGCTTAAGGCAAAGGTGCAAGTTCAGCCGAGTGGGCTTTGGTCTATGGCTCAAGGTTCAGGCCGCGGGGTTTATGGTTGTGCCTGGCTTCGGGATTTAGTGTTTGAGTGCTCGGTCGAGCACATGCACGCTTGCTTTGAAGTTTCGGGTTCAGAATATCTCCGCTGCACTGCAAATCGAAAAGTAAGGCAAGGCACACATGCCGAACACCGGATCTACATCCAGGGCTTCTTTTGTGTAAAGGAACAAACTACACCCAATTATATACCCGAAATTCCGCGGAGCTGCTTCCCGAAGATGTCCACGGTAGGATAATCCTCCTCAGGCCAGGCCGCATGGCACAGCTCCTTTGCCCAGATTCAGATGCTTCATCGCGTTGAAGGCGCAGAGTTCGTGCTTTGAGGGTTATCAGTGCTCGGAAGACGCGGGGCCCCGACCTATCCACGCAACAAATTGAAAACGAAATCCAGGAAACTCGTAACTCCTGCAAGCCTGACCTTTGAACCCTGAAACCTTTAAGCCACAAACCCTCAACCCAATCCTAAACCCTAAACCAAAGTCCTTAGGCCTCAAAGCCTAAACCCTTCGACAGTCCCTGAGCCCTCAGAGAGCTGCCGAAGCACCCTCAGGCCGCAGGCCATGGCGGCAAAGACCATCGCGATACATGGCCTGCAAGATGCTTTGCGTTTCAAGCTCTAGGGTTTCGGGTCTATCGCTTTTCGGGCTCGAGGGATAAAGGGCTTAGGGTTTCGGGCTCAGGGTAAAATGGGGCTTGGGGTTTAGGATAGGGTTTAGGGCTTCAGCGCACAGGTGCTGGCGCGCAGGGTTTCAGTAGCAGAGCGGGCTGGCTTGTTGGTTTGGCTACATACTACATAGTCTGGACTTATTGGCGCAGGTGTCTGGAGCTACTTGCTGCTCTGGACTTTCATCTCAAACGCTGGCACCACACGTCTCTCGCATGCGCCTGACCAGACCGATACCCAAAAGTGTTCTTGTAAATTCAACTCTAAACCCAAATTCGAAAACCCTAAGCTCAAATCGCTCCAAACCCTCCTGGGCCTGCCCAGGGGCAGATGCTGCGGCCACATCAGCAGCGCCCAAGCCGCCACGTAGATGGCCTTTCCAATGCCCCAAGCCCCTCAAGAAGCTGGAGAGCAGCCCTGTCTTTAGACGATTAGTCTCTTTCGGGCTTCTTGCGTGGCGGGGCGTGGTTGCTCTGCGCATGGAAGGGCGCATTACGGGACTCCACGGATAATCCGAAAAACAGCCCTCAACCTCCAACCCGAAAGCAAGGCATCTAAATGGAGACCGGCCTTCTTGACTTGTGCTCGTCTCGACAATGCTACTTACTCACCGGGGAAGACCTTCTGAAAAGGACCAAACTTGAAGAGCTTTGAGAGAAGAGGCGAGGTTGCCCCAGACCGCGAGAGGAGGGAGGGAGAGCATCCCATCCTCATGTCAAAGCTTGTCACAGAGCCGCTTTTTACCAAGGGAGTCCGAAAAAGTTAAGGTAAGGTTACTTGCGGTCCAACAGAGTGTCCCTTATTCTCTGCAATGGTGAGAAGCTGTACGGGTCTTGAGGCTGGTTTATGGCTTTGGCGTTAGACGCTCGGGCCCTTCTCTGGTACATGCGCCTGACAAGTTCGGTGAGGACGAGCTTGGGGATTGTCGGGGGTGGAGGGAAGAACTAGACTTCGCTTGGCACAATAAGGAAGGAACACTACAAAGAAATCTCCTTCTTGTGAGGTCCTCAGGGCTTCTCTTCGGAAACGGGTCTTCTCCGGTACCCCACACCGCCTCAGAGAACGCAAAGAAGTTCTCCAGAAATAAAACAGCCCAGCATGCAAGATCCCCAAGACATTCACGGGGTGTGCGCATACTGGCAATGCAGTGCGCACCGTGCAGACTAGACACTTGCCTGCATGTATGGAGAGTCTAAACCCCAATTGAAAGACCTGAGCTCCAAATAAGACCACCACAAGCCCGTAAACCTAAACTTTAGTCCTAAATCTTGAACTATAAGACACTGAACCCCAACAAGCAAAACCATTCTCCGAGGAAGCCATAAGCTCATATGCCCAATCTGAGCAGCTCCGACAGACGTGAGGCCCGTGGCCACGAAGCGGTTCACGAACCTCTCTAACTTAAGGTTTAGGGCTGAAGTAAGGGTTATAGGCTGTTCGAGATCTAGGGTTTAGAGCTTAGGGCTTCAATGCAGACGCAGACAAGTTCAGGATTTACATTGTGAATATTTGAACGACGAGGACGAACATAATGGCGGTGAGAGCGGTCGTAACCCCAATTGTTCTATGTCGATGATCCTGGTGATGATGCCAATAATGCAGAAACCTGTGATGAGATGAAGGCGAGCAGCCCCATGCATCAGGAGGGGAGGCGGAGGCGGAGGCGGCGCACGAAGAGGAGGAGGAGGAGGAAGAGGAGGAGGAGGAGGAGGCGGAGGAGGAGGCGGAGGAGGAGGCGGAGGAGGAGGAGGACGCTGATGGCGACGCTGATGGCGATGGTGATGGTGATGGTGATAATGACGATCGTTGTGGTGGTGGTGGTGGTGGTGGTGGTGGTGGTGGTGGTGATGATGATGATGCTGATGCCGTGGACAATGATGATGAGGCTGAGCACAAATACGTATGGAAACTAGTGTTTCCATGATGGTTGACGGTACTGATGCTATTTCCGGCTATTCTTCGGGGATCCTATCATGCATGCATACGCTTGCCTCTGGCATGAAAGCCCTTGGAAGGTCCCACGCCCCCACACTCTTCCATCCAGGCCGCGGTTGCGCCTGTTTTCCCCACATCTTGGGCTAAATTTGGGGAATCCAAAGGAGGCCGGAAACTTGAGCACGAGGCCACGGACGGAGGCATGGCATGGAACGTGGAGTTTACGGGGCAACAAGAAGAGTTTAGGAGCCCTACGCAGGTAAGCATGGGTTCAACGATTCCAACACCTTCGGGCTTCGGGGCGCAACTTCGGGAGCACTTGGACTTTGGCTTACGCTTGCAAGCTTCACGCCGTAAAGTACCTCTACCCGGGGCCCTCACTTGCTGTCTGGCGTCTTGTGGAAAAGCTTCTTAGCCTTGGTGCCCTTGGGATTGTAAACTAGGCTTTCGGATCTAGGCTCTTGGGAATCGCATGGGTCCTCTGTGCAAACTGCCTTGGGCTAAGCGCACCTCTCCGACAGACCCGAACATATGTCCTGACTCTGAAGCGGTTCGCAGCTTTGCAATGTTCGTGGGTCCGCCCTTATCCTTAAACCCTGAACCTTGAACATATAGTATGCATACTGTCTTTTTATATATATATATATATATATAAATGTATATACAAATACAATGCATATTATAGATGCGCATATGTATATGTGCAGGGGCTGGAACACTGCACTCATGCAGATAGCGAAGCCCCAAAACTCCCTTGTATCTCCCTGCGGGGAGTGGAGTTCGCCAAGCCGGCTCGACGGCATCGTGACGGAGGACGAGCTGACCAACACAGCCACGGTGGTTATTGCCATCACCACGGTCTGCGATACGCTCTTGGTCGTGGCAAGCTTGGAGATCGGAATCATGGTGGTATCTTACAACATGTTCGTATGCGGCAACGTGAATGAGCCCTGGTACATCCTATACGTGATCGTCCTGTCGAGCAGCTACCACTTGAACCACCTCATCGAGAATGCCTTCACACACCGAAGCTTTCGCCCAAATAGCGTTGGGAAATCGGCTGCCGAACGACGGCAAGGGTGCCAACCCTTCCTGGGTGGACTGGTGGATTCTGCTCTACTGGACTGGGCTGGTCGATTGCCTCGGCCCCTTTCGTCGGGACTTTCATGGCGTGCATCTCTCGCGGATGCACCATCAATCAGGTGGTCACGTACACTTTGTCCTTCATGTATGCTGTGCTGTGGTTCTGCATGTTCAATGCAGGCGGCATCGGCATGGCCCGCGGCGCCATCTGGTTGGAGAAAAATGGCGCGGTGGAGTTCAACTTCACGAACGCGACCTGCTGGAACAACAACATGAGCCTTGTGTCCGAGTACCCAGCAAACGATTCCTCAGGATGCTGTGTTGACCTCATGGGCCAGCACAGTACCACGGGCAACGACTCGTGTCCCACCACTCCGACTCCTTCTTCCCGACCTGGCAGCTCCAGAGCAGGTTAGTGAGAGCGATTTTATCATGGAGGTGGGGATTTCAGGACCGCCTTTTAAAGGAGCAATGCCTGGCATGGCTTGCGCATACCTCTTGTAATATTCATGTCGGATAGATGTGTCCTTTTCGCCTGTGCCCTGCCTTTGTACATGCCGACATGTTTGACGGCCCCGGCAGCTACGGTTTACTCTCCAGGGACCCGCTTTAGAGGAGCCCTGCTGCCTTAGGTATGCTGCCATGCCCGAGGTGATTCAGACAACTTTCAATTGCGAGCTCTGCACTCGTTTAGTCTTTCCTACATCGCAAGCAAGCTTTTATGCGCAATGTGTGTATCCAGAATACCTTGCAGGAAGGATTGCTGGATGGATGGGGTACCTTGATAACAACCCTTGCATGGGCTTGAGTGGCTCAGGTTTTTGCACCCCCGAGTGCACACTACCAGGTCGCAGATCTCTGTTCCGGGGGTGTGGGCTTTTGCTCACTGAGGGGTTCTGAACTCAGCTTTTCTTGCATTATGGCCTCAAAGGAACACCTGCACAGCCGTTTGCATGTGAATTCAA